GCTGCCTCCGATGCCGCCCCTGCTTTAAACGAATGCCCCCTGAGATGAGAAGCTGCCAAAGTATCATTGCAAGTAGTATCCCACACTAAAGATTTATCTCTCTCCCAAGCATCCAAGGTCATATCGTTGGGTCTCCTACTGTCGTCTCGAAATAATTTAGAAGCTCAAAAATCAAGTGAACAAATATAGGGACACGAGTTCTTCAGATGACATCGTTCTAAGAACCGTGACGGGTAATATTATATTAAATAATACCATATTATTATTACAAAAGATATGTTATTAAGGGTGGATTCGACCTAATAGCATGTTACACAAGAGTAATTAACGTTTGCATTTTTCCAACACGAAGGTGGAGTAGCCAATACTGGGTATTGTTACTCTAGAGTTTGTGAATCAATAACAACAGAAACACTTAATAATTATCTGTTCTCAGTGACTTTGGTTGTTAACAGATATGGGTAGAAAAGAACATCGATAAGTATATACAATATAAAAATAAATATAAATATATATATAATACAATATTAAAATAAGTATATACAAGGAAGTCGACAGCCCTATCGAATTGTATTGTTTATCAAAACTCAGTAATATAATGTTAGTAAATACGATATTAAGATTAGTTACAAATGTTTAAGTAGCTATATTATCAAATAGTTTACTTTTTTTAAATATTAGCTGTAAAGTTACTTACTTGTTAACATTACATGTTATCCCACTTTCCTTTTGGTAACGAGTTTTACAAATTAAGTACACTCACTCTCATTATTACTAAAAATAATTTTTTTATATAACTAAAATCGAACAATAATATTCAAACTACACAAAATACTTTCATTTTTCGTTTAAACGTTTAAAATACAGAGATATGATTTAAATAACACAACATACTTTGGCATATTACGTCAATTTTAGTTCTCCCTACGAACAATAGCGGCGAACGAACAATAGATTACGTTAAAAACTTCATTTTATATTTTGTTGTGAACAATTTAGACTTATTTATATATTTTTTAAAACAACATGGTGCGGTGCAGTGTTTTAGGGTGTAAAAGTGATAGTTGAAGGAATATATCAGGGTTGTCTTTTCATTCGTAAGTATACCACTCTTTATCGATTACTATATTAGAATTATTTTGTCCGTGCAGTTTGGGTCATAAATCATCGCAGTATTTTACTCTCTGTCTCCCACTCACGGACCTTAGGGGCGAGCATAGTGATGCGCATTATTATTGTCGATAACCGTTATCGATAGTGAATTTAGTTTTGTCATTATGTGGGTTAGTGATAAAAATGAAAAAAAAATTGGATAAAACAATGTATTTATTAAAATAAGTTTATAATAATAATTTAAAATAAATTATTTACTACGTATCTATGTTTGAAAAAAACTATAAGTATAAATGTTTGGAATGTAACAAGTTATATTAAAAATAAATATAATAACTTATATCTAGATTTTTTTTACACTTTTTATACCGCACCGCCGCCGCCTACCTTTTTTTAAATTTATTTAGAGAACCACAAACAAGTTTACAATATATCATATGCTAAAGCTTATGCTCTATTACAATTTCTTACTTATTATAAACTCAACGACGATGGTCATACATAGAGTATAAAAAATAACATAATTATGTGAGGGACCTAGTTTTGTAAAAGAAAAGTACCTTAATTTCTAAAATATTATTTTAACATATATTAGAGGTTAGAGTTTAAAGTTTAATGTATTAGCGTGTTAGCATATGTGCGCTTGCACACGAGCGCGCGCGCACGTGTGTGTGTCTTCATGCATGTACATATATAGTCATTGGTTAGATGATTTATAATTAGTATTAGTTTAGGCCTTTAAAAAGATATTAAGTGTTTAACAGCAAGTTAACTAGCTGTCTGTTATAGGATCTGGTACTACAAGAAAATAAATCTACTGAATTAAATTTTTTGTTATATGTGTCAACCATACGATGAAGGGGCGATCGGATACCGGCCTTTGTCCAAGATCTTGGTACAGCAAAGAGTGCGTGAGGATGCAAAGAACGCATACGTGCCCGAGATGGTACGGGGTAACTAATACGATTAATTATATCTGTGCAATCATACTTGTTATTGCACGGATCATAAAGTAATCTTGCCTCAAGTTGAGTGCGCCTAGACCTTGAGTCTCAGAGCTTATATTTTGTTTAAAGGAGCACATACGATAAACGCTCACGGTGATATTTGTAATTAACGCGACGCAAGAACTTTTTTGTACCATTTCAATGCTGTGATTATATTTTTTATAAAGTGGGTTCCATACAGGCGCTCCGTACTTCAATTGTGGCCTGACCAGAGATTTAAAAAGATAGATTGTAGTGATGGGGTTTCTAAATTCAGTAGCAGAACGCATAACAAGTCCGTACATTTTAAAAGCTTTACTAATTATGTTTTGTATATGAATATCAAAATGTAATTTGTTATCAAAAGTCACTCCCAAATCCCTTATATTATTTACCCTTACAATATCTGTACCGTTAAGAGAATAGTTAAAGTAGCTTATATTTCGTTTTTTGTGAAAGTGATTACTATACATTTATTTAAATTAAGTCGTAAATTATTAAGAGCACAGTAATTGTTGACTCTGTCAAGGTCTTCTTGAAGCAAATAGTGATCCTCTATCCTATCGATGCATTGGTATATTTTGAGATCATCAGCATATAAAAGGAACCGACTATTTTTAAAGCAATTCTTAACATCATTTATGAAGATCACAAACAAGAGAGGTCCCAAAATTGAGCCCTGTGGGACCCCAGAAGTGACATTAGCAATATCGGACTCCAAACCTTTAATTACAACCCTCTGCGTTCTATTAGAGATATAAGATTTAAACCATCGCCAGAGCTTGCCGCGTATACCATTGAAAGCAATCTTCTCCAATAGTATTCTGTGATCAACAGTGCCAAATGCTTTCCGGAAATCAGTATAAATACTGTCAGTTTGTGTATTGGTGTCAAGAGCACTAAACAAATCTGATGTGTAAGTGATAAGATTAGTTATTGTAGATCGCTGTTTAACAAAACCGTGTTGTTCATCTAAGATAACCTTATGCAATAGGGGGTAAATAGCATCATGCACCAAACGCTCAAAAATTTTAGAAAGAATGGGCAGTATTGATATTGGTCTATTATTCATAACGTCACTTTTTGATCCATCCTTGAAAACTGGGACTATTCTTGCACTTTTCCAAATGTCAGGAATGTTCCGTCAGATAAGCATTTATTGTAAAGATAGCACAAAAGAAGATCGATTACAGATGCAGTTTCTTTGAAGAAAACACCTGGTATGTTATCCATCCCAGCGCCCTTTGATATATCTAACATTGCCGGGCTTTACGTACCTGAAATCTAGTCACTTTGATGTTATGAATAGTAAAGTCAGATGTATTTTCGAGTGGTATGCAAATATCATCAATATCGAAATCATGTGGTACAGATGATCGTTGAAATACAGATTGAAAGAATTTGCTAAATAGATCACAAGACCCTTTTGGACTATGAGCAATAGAACCTTTATATTGTACACTACTTGGGATCGCTGAAATGTTACGGCGTTGAGATATGAACTTCCAAAAGTATTTAATGTTATATTTTATGCTATTTACAACCTTCGCCATGTAAGTTATGTAGCATTTTTCTGATAATGTTTTAAACTTTTTTCCATATATTGAGAATATATTATAATTTGAATTATTGTTATATTTTTTCATTTTAACCCAAGCTCGATTTTTTTTATTGAATATATTTATTAATTCAAGAGTAAACCAGGCAGGATACGAAGAAGACCTAATATATTTTTAGGTACATGTAAATTAATAATACTGTAAGTTTTTTCATAAAATAATGAAACTGCTTCCTCAGCACTTTTATTTAAAAATAAGACATCGCAATCAATATTCACTAATGTTTGCATAATTTCATTATAGTCCGCGTTTCTGTAACAGTAGTTAAGATATGGTTTAAGCCGGATACACAAAAAGGTGATGTTTATCCGCAGGAACTAATGCATTTGATATCGATGACAACTCACAGTCTGTTTTATTAGTGAAAAAAAGATTCAAAATATGGTCTTTGTCGTTTGTTAAGGAGTTTAATTGATAGCAATTTAATAACGCCATAAAATTATTTATTTGTATGTGAGATTGGTTAAGATCGCTGATACAAGGATATTGCCCATAGGAATCGTTATTCATCCAAACTAAGTCAGGTAAATTAAAATCCCCTACAATAAAATAATCTGTTACACTAGTACGAGTATTCACGTCAAGCAACTTATTTTGTAACATATTTAAGTAACTAAGGTAAACCTCATGGTGTTGTTTTGGCGGAATGTAAACTGCACCTATAAATAAACACTTTTTCGCAACTTTAAATTCGATGAGTATTTGGTCGATAACGGGTGGGAGCGGGGAGGATGTCACAGCGGCAGGTGCGCAGCTACCTCCATCACGGCGGCCGCTTCCCGCTCGATCTCGATCCGCACGAAATACCTTATACCTATTGTCTATGTATTCGTTATCGGTTATGTCTGTATGCAGCCACGTTTCAGTTAGTATTATTATATCGTATGATTGAGTAAGTATATTCATAAAAAGTGTATGTAATTTGGTTCTGAGCCCATGACAATTCTGGTAATAGATAGAAATATTCTTATCCATTTTTAAATATAACAATATTATGTGTTGTTAGTAAAAGATAGTTAAAATTATAAAAAAGACTACTTAGATTGTGGTTATTATAGGTTATTGCATACCAGAATCGCCTTACTTTAGTCATATAAATAAGTTTAAATAGTAACCAGTAAATATATATTTTATTTCTCCTACTTGACACATATCTGTAGATAACGAGTTTAATTTTAGTAAACATGCACAAATAGTATATTCGCCCGATAGTCCCATGGTTGAACATTCATTATTTATATAAGTATAGCTAAGATAAAACAACATCAGTAGAAAAAATAATTTAGGATTTAATTTTCTTGAGGTCTTGCTCGCTTCGTATAGCAAACATAGGAGGTGTCTCAGTTTGACGCACCAAAACAGTACCGTGCTTAATCCATGTGAATTTATAATTGTGCTTAGTAGCTTGTTGACGGCACAATCGAAATAATTGCTTGTTATTAGCTGTAAGATGTTCGTTTATGTACACGTTATATATAGTACCAGGTACCGCCAGCTGGTCTGATTTTAAACCTTTATTTGCCCATGCTGCCGTGATGAAGTTGTCGCGGATTATTTTCCTTGTAAATTTTATAATAACATTTTTAGACGCGAACACTTTTTATCAAAGTGTAGTTTATGTACCCTATGAGTGCCCTATGGGCTGATACAATGTCCGATTTGCTGAGAGGGTGTTTGATGACACAACCAATCTTCTCAATAATAGATAGAAGGTTTTCATCACGTCGTTCTAGGCAGTTAGCAATCTCAACCTTATAAAGCCGTGCCTGTTGCTCCATTGCATCAATTTTATCTTGTAATAGGTTAACCTGGCTGGTTACATCATCTCTCGATCTCAGCTGGCTTTCTACCTGTGTCACACGCGTTTCAATACTATCCTTCCTCTCCATCGTATAAGATAAGGATTTGTCGATTGTATCCAATCTATCTCCTAACTCTTTAAATGAGTTACTTATAGTCGCTAATATTTTCTTCAGCTCTCTATCAATGACTGTATCGATTGAATTTCTGATACTTTCGGCAATGGTGATATCCAACTGTAATTTCCATGAGCTGAGCTGATCATTAATTTTTTGCTGCTCAACGAACTCTAGTACCGCCTTAACATTTTAACCATCAGGCTGCTTGCGTTTACGCAGACTCACAAAAGTATTATCAACAGCGCCACACGTTTCGGGTAGTTCTGGATTTGATGAATATTTTAGCCTCTGTGCCGGAGGTGTTGTTGGTGGTGGAGTACGCTGCACCGTATTAGTTCGTGTATATGACTAAAACAAATAATCTACTCTGTCCTTTCTTAGGTGCGGTGAAGTATGCACGCCCCGCTGCAACGAGTCCAAGAAGTGATGCCAAAATAGGACAGAGAAAGTGATCCGAGTGAACAAGCGATATGGCCACAATACGTCACTGTTACAGCAACACACACTATTTCCACACTTACATGCAAGACGATAAAGTATAAATTACAATGTTCTATAATGTAAAATTTTGCAATAAATTTTTCACACGTCCTCTCTATATGGGACCCGCACGACGAATACCTTCGATGATTAATTTGTTGTTATCGATAATGGCGTTTCAACCGCGCAACATGCTCACCGCCCTAGCCGGGCTGAGGCCGATCTAAAATTTATGACCCCAACTGCAAGAACAAAATAATTTTACTATAGGCACTCTGTAACTTATGACAAAATTATTATTATATATTAATAATTGTGACTCTGTCAAGTTGATATTATGGATAATGTACCCTAGAAGTATATTTATCGTTAAAAAATTACAAAAATAACAATTGTAAATTTTAACCTAAAATTTTTGGTGCTGCCAATTTTATGTAAATTATTACCCACTATTATAGGAAATAGTAATATGTATTTTGCGGGGTCTATTAATTAAATATCTGAAAGATTTAATGACTTGTTGCAATTTTCCTGAACATGATAATTTACGTCGGAATTGGATTGTAGCTACAAGACTAACAGACTGCACACCAAAACCGTCATCAAACATTTGCAGCGGACATTTTAAGGATAAAATGTTAATAAAAAAGAAGAAACTTAGTCTCCTATTATCTATTGCTGTACCCCTATTATGGTAAATATTCAGTTAATGACATATTAAATTTCGATCCAGGTTTTTACGATTTTGATATATTAGTTAGTAGTAGTTATTAGTAGTTTAGTGTTTTTACTACTATTTAGTACAATTACCGTGTTAGTTGCAAAAAATATTTTGAATAAAGAAAATAATAATAGTTTTTATTTACGGATTTTATCGCGCTTAATTACTTAAATTTATTTTTATTATCCCGACGTTTCGGGTGCTTTACAGCACCCATGGTCACGGGGGGGGGGCCGAGATATTTGACGTCCCAATGTCATAGTAATCCGGCTACCTTCAGTTTTTGAATATTAATTTTTGGTCCGATTTACGCAAAACGAACTTATAGTATCATGAAGTCTTGCAGTGGTATGCTTGGGTTTGGGTTTAATTTTGTAAATTATAGGATCCCAAGCAGCTGGCAGCACCCATCCATCTTCTCTATTGAAATTTGGATGTTTTTTAATTTCAATAGCCTCGCGTATCATCCTTGGTAGGAATCGGTGTTCTTTTGCGAGGATTTGTGGTTTATCAAATCTAATGTAATGGTGGGGACGATCTTGAACATGTTCGCAGACTGCAGACTTCCCGGAGCGTCGGTGCTTCACGTCAGCTATATGTTCCTTCACGCGGGTTTTAATAGATCTCTTTGTTTGACCTATGTAAGAGAGACCACATTCACAATCTAGCTTGTACACACCTGCATCTTGTAGAGGTATATTGCATTTGATGGATGGTAAAAATTGACTAATCTTCTTCGGCGGCTTATAGTATGTTTTAATGGACGCTCGCTTCAAGATGTTAAACGCAAAAGACAAGACGCTGGTTAGAGCATTTTTGGGTTTGTGCTCCTATTACCGGCGATTTGTTAAGAACTTTGCAGATATAGCCAAACCTTTGCATAAGCTAACCGAGGAGAAGCGACATTTCTGCTGGGATGAAAGTTGAAATATAAGAAGGACCGTCTGTGCAAAACACCTATTTTGGGTTACCATGATGCAAGCAAAGAATTTATAGTTGACACAGACGCAAGTGATATGGGACTTGGCGGTGTGTTGTCTCAACGGAATGGTGACCAAGGAGGTCGTGATAGCGTACTTCAGCAAGTCGTTGTCAAAACCGAAAAAGGAACTATTGTGTCACAAGACGCGAATTGCTAGCTGTGGTAAAGACGGTGCAGCATTTTAGCAAATATCTTCTGGGGCAAAAATTTCACTTACGAACTGACCGTGCTGCACTAAAATGGCTATTGCAGTTTAAAAATCCAGAAGGACAAGTTGCGAGGTGGATTGAACTACTGCAGGAATACGACTTTGAGATCGAACATCGCAGCGGGAAATCTCATGGCAACGCAGATGCATTGTCAAGAAGACCTTGTCCTGAAGATTGCAAACATTGTACTAGGCAAGAGAGTAAGGAAGTGGTATCCGTGAGGATGCTCAAGGCAGACCACCTCAGCAACGAGTGGAAGGACAGCTTACAACGTGCACAGCAGGAAGATCCGGACATCAAGCCGATTCTGGAATGGATGAAGGCCAGTGCTCCTAAGCCCAAGTGGAGCGACGTTTCAGCGATGATTTCAACCATTAAAAGCTATTGGGCCCAGTGGGACAGCTTGCTGCTTCAGGATGGAGTTCTGTGCCGTAAATGGGAAATTGTTCGGGGAGACAGCTGTCATTTGCAAATGGTTGTCCCTAAAGCTAAAGTACCGGATGTTCTACAGCTGTACCATAATGATTATTTAGGAGGCCATCTGGGAGTTAAACGAACTCTACTGAAGATCCGAGAACGGTTTTACTGGGTCCACTGTCGAAACGATGTCGAGGACTGGTGTTGCAAATGTACAAGTTGTGCGGCTGTAAAGGGACCTCAGACTTGTAGTAGAGGTGCATTGAAGTTGTACAATGTTGGTGCACCATGGGAAAGAATAGCCATTGACGTGGCTGTTTCCGGAGAGTGAAATAGGTAACAAGTATTTCATGGTTGTGATGGATTACTTCACTAAGTGGCCAGATGTCTTCGCCATTCCAAATGAAGAAGCTTCAAAAGTTGCAGATAAACTAGTTCATGAAGTCTTCTGTCGTTTTGGAGTACCTTTAGAGATTCACAGCAATCAAGGAAGGAATTTTGAGTGTCAAATAGAGTACTCATAAAACAAGAACGACTTCTTATCACCCGCAATTTGATGGAATGGTAGAACGATTTAATCAGACATTGGAGAGGTACCTAGCAAAAGTTGTAGACAATCGGCAAAGAGATTGGGACAAGCACATACAACCGTTTTTGTTGTCATATCGAAGCGCTGTTCACGAAAGTACAGCAGTGACACTCGAACTTTCGACGCCTTGTCGATTTGTGTGCGAATGTTCTGGATGTTTCGGTGCTAATGTGTATTTATAGGCGCTGCAAGGTGCGATGGGGAAAATGTTGAATTTGGCGAGACAAGCAAAGCTTCGGAGCGGGATAAAGTGAATTTGCAATACCGCAAGTAGCAGGAAGCATCAATGCAACTATCATACGGGTGGCGCCCCCTCACAACACACCCACATTATCCCTATCGACTTTGGTAACAAGGTTTGTATTGTTGTTAACTAAAAAATATCACCAACGTATCATAGTAGCACGCTACTAAGACGCCAGCAAACAAAACTCCACGTATCATAGCGCTAATGCACTAAGACATGAAGTTGAGTTTGCCTGTTACACTTAAAAGTGCTACCAAACACACTCATCCCAATCCGAAAAATAGACGACGCATCGCTATGCGCTACGACGCCGCCCTCAAACGGTAAGGGTGTGCGATGTCCACAGGAAAGCCGTATTGCTACAACAAACCCGCTTACCACCGGCACTAATATGTTGTTAATTAAAAACTGCACCAACGTATCATAGTAGCACGCTACTAAGACGCCAGTGGACAAAACTCCACGTATCATAGCGCTAATGCACTAAGACATGAAGTTCAGTACGCTGGTTACACTTAACAGTGCCACCAAACACACTCATCCCAATCCGAAAGATAGACGACGCATCGCTGCGCATGCGCTACGACATCGCCATCAATCGGTGCTACAACAAACCCGTTTACCACCGGCACTAAGATGATATGTCTAGGACACATCGGTTAGCGAGCCCAAGTTTACCTCGGACCAATTGCTCTTGAAGTAGCATACACGCCACTATAATAATCCTTTTTCAAGTCCCTAATAAGGACTAGTCATTTTGCTACAGTACTAAGAGCAGTCGGTCACCCGACCACCCTATATAATGCTTATGCATCAAGAAGACCTTCTATAATAATGCTTTTGTATCATAGACCTTACTTTCATAAGTCATTAATATGTAGGACTTCAGCCTACGATTCTACTATTGTAATGCAAATTAATCATAGAGACCTTCTATAGTATTGCTTTTGTATCATAGACCTTACTTTCATAAGTCGTTCATATATAGGACTCGAACTCACTACCCTACTATTGTAATGCAAATTCATCATAGAGAACTTCTATAGTATTGCTTTTGTATCATATACCTTACTTTCATAAGTCATTAATACATAGGACTTCAATCCACGACCCCACTATTGTAATGCAAATTCATTATAGAGACCTTCTATAGTATTGCTTTTGTATAATTGAGTTTATTATCGTAAGTCCCTAATATAGGACTAGTCATTGTGCTACAGTACTTCAAGCAGTCGGGCTCCCGACCACCCCATATATATGTACAACTGCAGGTATGTATCTCCGGCAGCTCCTCCATACAAAACATCTATACATGAACACCTTCCATAACTTAGGAAAATTTTCTTTTATACATGAACTCCTTCCACAACTTAGACAATTTTTAACAAATTTTCTAATTATCTTATAAACGTTATTTATCTTTATTTTTATAATATTTTCGAACTGTATTTCTATTGTTTATCATGTTTTAAATATTTTACAAGTTTTTACAATAAATTTATTTAGTATGGAAGACAATATTTTTGCCTTTAATT